GGGAAGGGAAGGGAAGGGAAGGGAAGGGAAGGGAAGCAACCGGTGAGAGCAAGTGAGCGCCGCACCCGGGGCCACGGGTGAGGGCTGGGGACTCGTCCAGACTCCGCCAGCCCAAAGGGGCTCCGTCAGAAGGGCCCCATCGAGTCGCCCCCCTTTGAACCACGTTAGGGCCAACCCACCTTAGAGATCACCTGCCACACTCTCAGAATTCCCGGTAAGTGTTGAGCTGAGCTACCAGACTCGCAGTGCCCGGGGCTTAGGCGACATAAAGAGATATGTAATGACCCCCATGGGAGGGCCAGGTATGGGTGGAACCTGGCTTTTCCTGGGATCGTGGCTTGCTGTGTTGTCTGAACCCAGCCAAGGAACCACAGGCAGCGCACAGCCTAGTGATGAGCGATGGGTTCTCTTCATGGGTTGTTTGGGTGAACACAGCTGGGTTCAGGCAGCACGACAATCCACATTTCGGCAACAGTCCCCACTCGGGCCTTGCTTGCCATTTACTAGGCTGGCTAATTGTAGCTGGAAGGGAAATGGGCGGCCCGGCAGCAACACGGGGCCGCAACCTGCCCCTTGTAACGCAGCGTGTCGGCTCGGGCCAAGGGGCCGCTGAGGCCCGTTTGCTTTACAAAGGGGGTGCAGAAGACATGCAGAAGGCGGCGGGGGGCGGGGGGAGAGAAAGAGAGAGGATCAACTCAGCCGGCTACCCTGCGGGACCCTCCTTGAGACCATGGCTATGGGGACTGTCCCTCGGCGCCCCCCTCCACAGGACACCACTGGGTGCAGCTCATCCACTCTCACCCCAGCGGCTCCCCAGTTCCTTCCAGGTCTGAAAGGGGCAGGAGAGTTTGGCTCGCACACACTACCTTTTTCGTTGCCATGGTTTGCGGTAGCACAAACATCCGGAGGCACATCATGGCTCAGAGCCTGCAAGAGGGTTCTGAAAAAAGACCGAGATGCCCACATCAGAAGGCTGGCAAATGTCAGATATGTATTTAAGCTAAACCCTCACACGACGGGCAGCGCGGCTGTTTCCACAGGAGGCACATCCAGCAAAGCAGTTATGTTTTGTTGTCTCGTGCAAAGCAAGCAGAGGATCCATACACAAAACAGATGGGGGCAGTAGAAAAGCAATACGACATTTGGCTGAGAAACTGCTGGCGTGGCGATAGCGAGGCTCAGCATGGCGGAGCGCAACCTGTGGCCCACAGACCCCTGGGGGGCCGCAGCGCCGTCACAGGGGGGCCGCGAAGGCTTGGAAAAATGCCATGGGTTTTTGCAGTCAAATGAAAGCAAGAGGGAAATATTGTTTTTTAATTCGAAGGTGAGGAGGAAGAGAGCTGGGCAGGCACCAAGCAAAGCGCCCAGGGGTGCCGCCATACCTCTACAAGAAAACTCCCTGCAAGCAGAAACCAAGCACCTCTTCCTCCCCGAGGTGCTTGTTTTCTGCTTGCAGGGAGTTTTCACGCAGAAGAGCGTTCAGAAGTGACGCCTGCTGCTCGCAGCTGCACAGGTACCTCCACCTCCCCTGCGGATGGTGCGCCCTGTGCAGAACCAGGGCTGAAACTCTGAGCATGGAGCCGGAAGGCCACCCCCGGCTCAGGAAGAAGTGCTTGCGAGGCAGTGGCCAGAGGGGACGATGGGGCAGGCGGGCGAGGCAGAGCAGCGAGCGAGAAACAGCGGAAATGAGATGTGAGGTGCCTACTGATTTCCGGGGTCGTAAATGGAAGCGCATTTCCCATGGGACCATCCACAGTAGGGGTCCCGTGCCAGGACGCAGCTCTCGCAGCTGCCTCGGTAGGCCCCGCACATGGCGAGCGGGAGCTGCACCACCTCCTTCGCCGAGGCCACGAAGAGCTCTTTCTGCAAGGGAAGAAAGCCAGCGCTGGGACCTGCTCCCTCCTGCCCCGCCGGCCAAAAACGGCCGGACGCAGACCCCCAAGGAGCGCGTGAAAGGACAGCCCTGCCTACTGCAGAGCGGAGGGCGCCCCCAAAGGCACCTCCAACGCATCGTCCTCAAAGCCAGACGCACCCCAAAGAAAGCGAGGGGAGCTGCATCCAGGAGGAGCCAGGTGTGTTTCCCAGCATCTCCAGGGAGGGCTAAGAAGGACACCTGGCGAGGGGAGCTGCATCCAGGAGGTGCCAGGTGTGTTTTCCAGCATCTCCAGGGAGGGCTAAGAAGGACACCTGGCGAGGGGAGCTGCATCCAGGAGGAGCCAGGTGTGTTTCCCAGCATCTCCAGGGAGGGCTAAGAAGGACACCTGGCAGGTACCTGCCCAGCACAGCATGGGCAGCTGCCCCTTTCGAATGTTCAGCCCCCAGTGAGGACTTGGCATGATTTAACAGGGCTGTTGGAGGCTTAACCAGTCCGGGGGTGGGGGGTCCCAACCCTCAAAACAAGCTCGCAGCTGGGTTTACGTGGCTTGACTAGCTGTGGCGAGGGTGGAATCCACAGAAACAGCCCCTGTGGGTAAGTGGGGTGCAGCTCCGGCCGGCACGCCACGAAAACGAGGTCACTGCTGAGAGCAGAAGGCCAGGTGGACTGGTGCCCCAGCTCTGCCTAAGAGAGCTTCCTCCATTCCTAATCCATTTCTGCAGTGATGCGGCCAGGGCTGAGGATGCTCTGGGCGAGTCGCCCCTGGGGTACACCCCACACCACCAGCCTGGCTGCCCCACCTCTGACACAGGCTCTTTCCGCACAACGCTCCCTGGGTGCCAGGAAGGAAGCAAGCCCACCCTCCCTCCTTCACATCTTTTCTATTTGCATGTTTTCAAATGCTGGGCAGCACAGCGACTTCTGCGGGAAAAGCCAAGAAGGCAGGAAAGCCAACCAGTTCCATTACGCACCACCTGCTCTCACTCCCTTCCTGAACAGCTGGTGGTGGCAACAGCTGCGCCGACACATTTCCCCTTCCAACGTTAAAAACTGGTAAAAACAAAATCCTGCTCCTGTGGAATGCAGAGGGGACAGATGGAGAAGGTGTGGCGGCTGGAGCTTCGCCCCCCTGCAAGACGGCTGTGGAGAGCTTTGCTCTTGAGCAGAAAAGGCTGGATGTTGCTACTCAAGGCCCAAGCAATCGGGGACTACAGGGATCCAGACGGATGCCCCAAACCTGAACCTACAGCTCTGCCATATCCTCTCCTTGAATCCGCTTGTTCGCTCCTCATGTGTCTGCTGGGAGATCTGGCTCTTCCAGACCACGGAACGGCAGGCTAAGCTTTCCACGTCTCTGCGCGACCCTTGGCGCCAGCGGCGAAGGCTTTTCCAGGGCTCGGCGGCTTCCAGGGACTCCCAAACACCAAAGCTTCGCTTACCTTTGCACTGTCCAAAGCCATGGCCCGGATGGCAGCAGGAGGCTGGAACGGCTGGATTTCCAGGATGGTCATGGCGCCCTCTGGTAGAAAGACGACCTTGTGGATTTTTCCTTTGTCTGCACAAGGGACGGAGGAAGAGGCGGGTTGAGTGGAGTAGGAACGATGCACGGAAGGTGGGAGAGACGGCGGCTGGACGGGGGCGAAGGAAGCAGAAGGACCGGCCGAGGGGCACCTGAGCGGACCAAAACGTTTCCACAGCTGCCCCCCCACCCCCTCCTCTTTCTTCCGCCCATCATCCCCTTTCTTGGGACTATGAAACTTTTTACGTGAGCTTCAGCTTAGTCTTCAGGCTTAGCTATGCATTAACTCCTGGAGAAATCAAACCCACGTCATCTGTTTTTGAAAGTCGGCGGGCGGAATGTGCTGCCAAGATGCTGCTCTGGCCAAGGTAAAAAGACAGCAGAGCAGAGCAGGAGTGTTGGACTACGGCTCCCATCCAGCTGGCTGGAGTGATGGGAGTTGTAGTCCAACAGATCAGGAGGGCACCTGGCTCTGGGATCCTAGACTAAAGGGTCCGTCTTGCCTCAAGGAGGATGGGTTCCAACTTCTGCTGACCCACAGGGTGACCTTGGCCCTTCTCTCGGTTCGGCCCCAAGCTCTAGTTTTGGAAAGAGCGGGCAAGAGAGAGAGAGAGAGAGAGAGGAGCCATAATCCATTCAAGCAGCGGCATGGCAGCCAGGGGGAAAATCCCCCTGCAGAAGTCCCACAGTTTATCACAGGCTGCTTGTAAGGCAGTCGCTTCACCCCAGGAACCAACGTTCCTTCCTGAGCCAAATTCAAGGTGCCGGCCTTTGCCCTCAAAACTCAAAATAGTCCCAAGGCTGGCGATCTGAGTGGCTTCCAGGGAACCTGCTCAGTTACGAAGATTCTGACTTTGGGGGAAGCGTCCTGGTCAGCTTCAGAAAGCCCTCAGACTGAATCGGCAGTTGGTACCTAACCTGTAGCCAAGTAGGAGACGGTGTAGTTGTCCCCGTCGGCTGTCTGCACCTGGTGGACTCGGATTTGCTGGTAGTGGTGCCTGCTGTAGAAAGAGGCTTCCTGCTTCACCCGGTGCAGCACCTCGGGATGTCTGTCCGCCACTTTGAAGGTCTCGTGTGGCGTCAGCTGCTCTCCGTCCAGACACTGGTAAGAGGACACACAGGTGAGGCCACCCGTCGGGCAGGCGAGGGAAAGGAGCGGGCCGACAAGCCCAGCACCCAGCCACCCTGCTTACCTGCCCAGGTCTCACCACAGGGAGCACATCTGTGTATCCTTTGAGAGGAGATGTCCTGAACAAGTGGTCAATTTCGCCCACAGTAAAGACACAGACGGCGGAATATTCCCTGCGTTTGAGAAAGAGAAGCATTTGGCGATGCAGACTACAACGGGTAACGTCCAACATGCGTCCTGTTTAGAGTAGACCTGCTGAAATGAACAGGACTGAAGTGGGGTGGATCTGGGGGACCCCAGGGTCAACGTGAGATCCTAGGCAGGCTGGATTCGGCCCATGGGCCTGAAGCTGAGCACCCCTTGCCCAAATCCTTTTACTGGCCCACCCCAACCCAAAGTGGCCACCGTGCCGGGAGCCACCACGAGGGGACATGAAGCCCCATCTCAACTAGATCCCTGTGGGTTCGCCTTCCACCAAGAACCAAGGCAGGCTCACCACTCATTTGAGAACAGCCCGTAGACTTTCGTCTTGGACCAGTCATCAGACTCAAGGATGAAGACGTCCTGCAGCCGGTGGAAGTGTCGGCCGGAGGCGGAATCCACACAGAGCAACGTGGCCTTCAGGAAGGTCGTCCACTTGGCGGCGGAGAGCGAACCTCTGCCTCCTTTATCTCCCTAACGAGAGGGGCAGGCAAGAAAAGCAACGCGTTAGGACTAGGCGTAAAGCTAAGCAGGGTCAGCCCTGGTTAGAATCTGGATGGGGGACCTGAGTCCTGCACTTGGACCGAACGGACCTCCAGGCTCCTTCCAACAGAATTCTGTGGTCTTAAATGAGAACTGACCATTCCTGGGCCTCACGTTGGCCACCCACACAAGTTTTACACGCAAGCACCGAACGTTGAGTCATGGAAAGCATCCGTGAAGCCCCCCGTTTGGCATCCAGACAGAGCCTTTTCCCATCGTCAAAGCCAACAAATTTCTGAAGACACTGCAGAGGCTTTTTGGTGGTAGTGCCCTGTTCCTAGAACTCCCTTCCCGGAGAGGTTCGCCAAATCCCAAGTGAAATGTATATACATGTATATCATTTTAATTTGCCCAGTCTTTCTGATGCAGTATGTATTTTATGAACATGTATGGATTTTTTAAAAAACCAATAATGAGCTTCAGGGCTTAACTGTAGTGCTGTGTATTATTGCAATCATTTGCATGGCTTCATTTTTTAAGCCATGTCATGAGTGGAGCCGGGGGTCAGACTAGATGGCCCAGGAGATCCCTTCTGTCTTGTTCTGTTTCTATGTTTCCATTTTGTTTTACTTGTTTTTTGGGGGATTCTGGTCCTTAGTTGCACCTTTCTATGTAAGCCACACTCTGGGATCCTCACCAAGTGAAAACAGCATTAAAACAGTAACAGACACAGGTAACGGTTTCACAAAGAAGTAAAAACCTGGCATTAGCTTCCCAAATTATATGCTTGGCAAGGTTTAACAGCAGTTTAACAGAAGCAGGGAAAGCTTCTTGCAAACAGCCAACCCTTCCAAAAGCTCCCCCTAAGCGCACGTCCTTCTCGCCAGTCCCCATCCACCCCGTGTGACTTCTAGGGTGCAGTTCTGGTTCTGCTTATGGGGCAGCAGAGGGCGAGCGCTGGACCCCTTTCGGTGTTCAAGACATGCACCCGCTTTCTTGGACCGGGGCTGCAAACACCCCTGGCGTGCCCGTCTTCTCCCCTCCAGACGGAACATACTCCGTTCCTTCAACATTTCTTCGTGCGACCGGTGGTCCCATGACATGGTGCTAAACCTCACGGCCCACGGAGCCCAAGTCCAACCTTCTGGGGGTTTCTAGACAGGTACAGCCCTCCATCACATCACCAAGTTGCTCCTGACTTCTTCCCCCAAGCACCCCCAAATGATTTGGTGACTTCCCAGCTTTAGCTCAGTTTTTCCACCTTTCTAAAACAAAAAACTGGAGTGTTTCTCCTAAGATTTAATGACTGGTGGTAAGAGACTTATTTATTGAAAACGTTTCTATACTGTCCCTTACCGAAGCCTAGGGATGGCTTAACAATACAAAATGTAAAATAAAACACAGCTTCCTAAAGATTCAGCTAACCATAAAACCCCAATCAAAACAATCAGCTCTTAAAACAATGGGAAAATAAAAGGGTTTTTAAAGGGAAAGAGGTGGCAATCTGGGATCGCCCTTCTGCAGTTGTCTTGCTCACCACTCCAACCCGGTCACAAGAGCAGCACTCGTATCCTGTGGAAACGGGCCGGCTTCTCCCCCAGGTGCTCCTTCCACACAGCACCCCAGCCCCCAGCCCTTTACCTTGCACAGCTGGGCCACCCTGGAGATGCTCCTGGGGGCCAGCGCGTCGCTTGGCCAGTCGGCGTTGTCCTCCCGGAAGAAGTAGTAGATCTTATCCTTGTACGGCTGGTCTTGTTTGATGACAGCGGCCTTGACGAACTGGGGATCTGGAAACGGGCAAGGCAGAACGCCAGGGGAGAGGAGAAGGGTTTTAGGCCGGTGGCTCAGCTCTGCCAGATCCCGGGGCAAAAACAGGGCTTTGTCTGCACGTCACTGCTCCCTACATCACACAGGGAGCTTTGGCTGTGGAGGAGTACGAATGAGCCAACCAGATAATGTCTGGAGAGGCAGGAAAGCTGCGAATGGCCAGCACCAAAGGCAGGCAAGAAAATGACGCAGTGGAGAACGTTCCTGTTCAGCCAGCCAGCTGGGTACGCCCATCTCCCCGGCACGCCATGCCGGTTCCCTCCAACTCAGCGTTCCTCCTTCCTCGTCCGTATCTACCACACTCCGTACTCACTGGGCTAGCGGGGCCGGCGGAGGAGAGGAGAGGAGAGGGGCTGCCCTCTTCAGTCTCCATAAGATCCATAGAACATTACAAGCGGCTACCGCATGCTCCCATTTTCCTGTTCCTCCCCACTCCTTTCTCCTTCCGTGTCGCATCTTTTTGCACGGTGAGCTTGAGGGTAGGGGCTGCCTCAATCTCACTGATTCTTAAAACATGGGGGGGGGGGGCTTTTTGACTGCAGAGTGCAGAAGTGATGCTTTAAACAGATAGGATGCTTCCCCCGGCCCACGACATCCTTCTGCAACCTGTGAGGTTTCCCGAAGCCCGAGAAAACCTCCTCCTGGTGCTGAATGGGGCCAGTTTGGCCACAGATGCATTGGCGCTCACAGCCTGCGCACGGAAACGAGACGGAAGAATACAGGCCGTCCCTGGAGGGGAGAGAGTTCCACCTGCTCCATCTGTTCCGCACTGGAAAAGCCCCAGCAGACTCTCAGAGAGGAACGGTCCCTGGCAGGGACACACGGAGCAGAACGTTGCGTCACTGGAGGCTCGTTATCTTGGGTTTCCAAGATTAGGGGAATCAGCCTGCACTGTGCTAATTACACGGCAGTCTGCCTCTGCCGCCTCCTGCTCCACGCCATTCCCTCCGAGGGAAACTCTGGGCTTGTTTTAAACCTGCACAGTTTTCCCACCTGGACTTCGACGCCTGTCTCTTGCTGGGGTGCCCTTTCCACTTCCTCCCTTGGGTCAGTGCTCAGCTCCTTTCAGAAGGGACCAGGGCTCCCGTCCTTGGCAGCCAGCATGGCGCCAAGCTGGAGAAGATGCTTATGAAGCATCCACAGGGGAAGGATTAGTTCAAATCCCTCAGTGGCCGTGCTTGTGTGTTGTTGGAGGTTGGGGCAAGAACAAGGAATTCCCACCCTTCAAGGACCACCACACTCACTATTCATGACGGTGTCACTGGTGTAAAGCTCGGCCGATCCTCGAATCCGACGAAAACGCGGGATCCGCCCATTGTACTGATGCTTCTTGATGGTAGAGTAGATATCCTTCCCTGCAAAAGAGCAGGTCTTCAGAGATGGCGTGTAAATGCAAGGCGATCCGGATGGGTTTCCCAAGTCCATGTCCAAGGACTTCCTCCTTTGGAAGCCTCCCAGTCCACGCCAGCTCCCCACACTCCCTCTCTCTCTCTTAATGGGAAAAAGTCTGCACATGTTTGTGTACATTTGGCAAACCTTTGCTCCCAGCGGCAAAGGCATGCGTGCACAAATTTTAGAAATGTCCCCGAGTATTTTTAAGCATTTTTCAAAGATGGGCATGTCAAATGCGTTTTGCATTCTTCATGGAAGATTTCGCAGGCCCAGAAATTCACAGATTACCAACAACTTGCATCTGTGTTTGATTTTTGTACCCCTGATTAATTTGGTCATTTCCCATCCCCGGAAAGGCAATGGATTTGGGGTGAGTCCTCAAGGGGCAATGGATTCTTCATTCAGTCCTTGGTTTTAGTGCCAGTGACGGCAAGAGAGCTCTGGGGGTTCCTCCATCACATGCCTGACACAGCTGTGGTCCCCACACGATTTTTTGCCCCAAAGCACCTGATCCAGAACTAGCGCAAGGGGCCTTACTCTCCGAGGAACCCCTGCGCATCGGCCATTCTGGGAGGGGGCCAGGCACGAGGAAGGGCTCCTGGGAACCCCATAAGGCACTGCAGGGAGTCGGGGGCCAGCGGCTTTGCCTTGAGTGGCACCGCTGGTTGGAAGAGGGCGATGCCCAGGTGCGGGTGCAGCTGGGCAGCACTGAGCTCATGAAGAGCTGGCAGCCAGTGTGGGGTGGCGGTTCGGAGGATGGACTGGGATGTGGGAGACCCCGGTTCTAGTCCCCACTTGGCCCCGAAGCTCACTCGGGCAACCCTGGGCCGGCCACTAATCCGCCTACCTCACAGGGTTGTTGTTAAGACAACACAAAGAGAGCTTGGAAAGCCACCTTGCAAGAGAAATCAAGTGGCAAACCACAACCACCACTACTACAAAATGACCTTCCATCCAGACTTACCATCAACCAGGACGAGGGTGTTTTGGTCGAGCTCAAAAGGGGCCAGTCCCTGGGCAGTTATCCCTGGTTCCTTTGCCCCATTCACCTGCACGGGGACAGAAAAGGCCATGGTTCTCTGCTGTGTCTGGACACAAGGGGCCACGGGGGGTGCCTTTCTCAGCTCCACTCCTGGCACGAAGCGCTGCCAGGAGGGTGGCTTCAGGCACCGGCCGTCTCTCTTCAGTTACAAAGCTGGTGCCACCCACCTCCCCCTGTTCTGCACCATTTCTTCCCTTCCTTCGGCAGCATGACAGCTGCTGGAAAAGTAATTAAAAGCCATTTTTTAAACAGAGCGGAAGTTCCTTTCCCAGGGAAATAAGAACTGGGGGTTGCAAGAGAGGTGGGCAGCTTTTGCCACTCCACGAGGAACGATCCGGAGGTTAAGGTCACGGAGGAAGTGAAGTGGCGAGATACCAGAGCAGCTTCTTAGAGGGGTCCCGGCAGAGGCTCCAGTGCTTACCCAATTCCAGCATGTGGGGTTGCAGGCGTTCGTGCCGCAGATCAACAGCTTGTCATCGTATTTTTCCAGCAGCGTGAGATAGTTCTTGGCATCCTCCTGGAGAGGCAGCCGAGGACGAGAGGAAAGAAAGCAAACATGGTCTGGATGAAGAAGAGCCACCAGCTTCTCTGGTTCTCACCAGGCAGGACGGGTGGCGAGGGAAGCTGCACACCTGGAGCTGTGGATGGCGAAACTGTGGAGTCCAGACCGGCCGGGGCAGATGGGAATCCAGCGGAATTCTACCCTTGGACTCTAGGCCACGGAACACCCTTTGCCCTCCCCACTGGCTGGATAATTAAGGAGAAAAAAGGGAAAGAGAGAGGGGGCATCCACTAAAGATTTCAGGGGCTACAGCTTTTCCTCCAAACTTACCTGTTTTCTGCAGTTAGACGATTTGTCTGCATCAAAAGGCACCTGATTGACAGAGAGAGGAGAAAAACCGTTTTGAATACAGTGTCTTTCTGTACCCATAAACAGTGGGCTGTATGCCCCCAGACTTTATGCAAGCCAACTCCCGAATCTGCCACTGTTGTAGCAGCAAAATGCTTCTGAGAAGAAGCACCCCAAAGTACAGTTTTGCTTCCAAGGAGCGTACATCTCACAAGCAAAATCAGTGTTTTTCACTCTGGCAAGCAGGCAAATTCCAGCGACAATTTTTGTGGTACGTGTACAACCCCCCGTGGGGTCTGGAGAGGCAATGCAGCCTCGGAACTGCAAGAAGTTGATCGATCTATATTGATGCGTAGATCTAACCTTCCCATTCCACACGGTTATAGCAATTAGTCACTGACACTTTGGCAGCAGTGTCCCAGTTTTCCCAGCTGACCCCAGAAGAATCGAATTAACCGGAGCTTGCCGAATGGAGAATATTACTTGAGGTGAGATTGGAAGCTTTTTCAGGGTTTGGCAGCTTTCTAAACAGTTGGATTTAAAATCCCGTACGCATCTATGGATTTAAAGTTCAACATTTATGATTGCATTTGGACAGCAAACTTTGCCGCGAGTTTCCTCACCTTAAGGTGGTTGGAGTTTGCAAAGTCACAATAATAAAGTTTATTTTCCGCCCCCACGTAAACAGAAGACGTTCCTTGTTCATGGTAGAGTGCAATGTGGTTTTCGGAGGTGTTAAACAAACATCTCTTCTCTCCTACAGGGTAGAAACAAAGGAGGCAACTCAGTACGGGGGGCCCTTCAGAGATTACGTGGAAGGAAGTCAGAAGGTCGACGGTGGTCAAACCACTGAGCTATGCCTAAACCACCCACTTCACCTATTCCCTATTCCCTTCCCCCTTGAAAACACTACCCAGAGCAAGTTCCACCCCAAATTGCCTGTTCGGTGTTTCCCAGATGTGCCAAACTTCGGTGCCCATCATCCACGGTGGTTGGGGATGACAGGCATGGTAGTCTGACACATCTGGGAGGCGTGTAGCTGAGAAAGGTATATCTGTAGGATAGAGATGGCAAATGCCCAGTTCTCTCTTGGTCAGTTTCTCACTGTTTTCTGCCCGGTTTCATTCCATTTCCACATCCCTGGGTGAAGTTTAAATCTACATGCAGTTCTGTGCACATTTCTCTTCGTATTTGCATCCTTTTGTTTATGCAGCTTTGCATAAAATGGGCATTTTTGCAAGCCGTTTCTTCCCTAACACAATGCACATTATCTTCATTTCATATCGCTTCCTACCTCCCCACACTGCCCGACAGCCGAGGCTGCCCAGGAGCACGCAAACAATAACTCCTTCTAAAGATGGTCAGAAGCTATTTAGAGACAAGCTATAAACAGGCAGTGCAAACAGAGGCAAACAACTCTGAACAATGAACCGAGACAAATCCAAGAGCTCCGTTTATGCACCACCTACATTTCCTGCCCGGCTCACTCAATCCCAGCGAATGCCACCAGCAATGCCCGCGACGACAACAACCACCAGGCCATAATAATCTTCTTCGGCTCTCCCTGTGGCAAACGTCAGGCTTAGATCATAGATTAAGAACAGGCTGACAGCCTGGTGTCACCTCCGCATCGCAAGGGGAGACCTGGTCTTATTTGCAGCTTTTTAGAGATAAACGCTCCATGGGGCACTTCCCAAACTCAATCCTGGGAAGCAGACTGGGGTTATTAGTTTGGTCCCGAGCCTAGGAATGGATGGGAACTCCAGTCCAGTCCATTTATGGCCAGCATTTACCCTCTAAAACCTGCCCTCCTTGGCCAAAGTCTGTGCTTCCCCTGCTCAGCCGTTCCTGATCGCAGCTTTTGATCACGACGCATCTGTTGCGGCCGAGATCCGGAGCCATAAGCAGGGGGCCAGGCTGAAGCACCAGGCCATGAAACTCCACTGGCTAATTTCTGGGGGTCAAGGCTGTGCTAAAAACCACGGAGGGGAACTGCTTGTTTTCTGAACTGCTGACAACCGTCTTCCAAAACAAACAACTCGCTCCATCGAGCCCGGGGACTACGAAGAGCGAAAACAGCCCTATAGAAGCCGTCGCACATCATTGCCTGCTGATTTCTAAACAAGTTGTTTCTCCAGTCTCTGTGGGATATTATATCATTCCTGCAAGAGGCAACAAGAGGTTTCCCTTCCCAGAGCTGCATGAGTCACTGATGATCTTCAAGAAGGGGAATCCTTGTTACCACAGGGCGCCAAACACGCCCGTGATGGAGCTAATTCTCTCACACGGGAGACACGTGCCAGCTCCTGGTGCCATGCCAGCGATACTCCGCTTCAGCAGAAAGGGCCAATTCGCTTCCCTGTCCCATTCCCGCTCGGGACACGGGATATCCTATTAATTCACCAGTCACAAGGCTTTCCAGGCATGGATTGTATCGACAGCCATGGATGGCTTGATCAGCCTGCAAAAGCCCTCCCCAGAGCATTGCAGCTACGCATCTCAGGCTGTGCCTTATTCAGCAAAGGTTTCCTTTGCGCCTGTCGCACACGGCAGTGCTTCCTTGGTAAGCGCACGGTGGGAGCTAATTCAGCTAATTGCTGAAGAGGCAGCGCACGGCAAATGCTTCTTGCCTTGGCGATGTCCAACCGCGGCTCCTTTTTGGAAGGAGGCCATTGTACGGATCAATTTTGTACCGGAACGGTCCTTAATGCTGTCTGAGTACGCACAGTTGCTAGCAATCCACCTGCTTCCAGGAAATTAATGCATCATCAGTGTAAATGGATTCTGGGCGCAGCTAAAAGACGGATACTGCAAGATCGCAAGGACAACGGATGTGCAAACCTCTCCACGTTTTTGACGACTGGGGGAGGGGAGTCACTTTTCGTCCCAGGGCCGGCACACCAGCAACCGGGCCCAGATTGCTGAATAAGGAGTGGGGAGCAGGCAAGGGCAGGAAAACCGCCGTGCGCCTACCCACGCTATTTGCACAAAGGCGAAAGGCCGGGGACACGGGGCCGCTGCCCCAAACGTCCTTTATTCAGCAGGCCAGGGCGCAATTGCGTGTTCCAGGAAGGCCGGCGGATTCCTTTTTCTCGTCTGACACAACGGCCGCATTTAGGGCTTCCAAGCAGCAAGGCCCGCTTCCCCTGCAGCCCTGCGCCTTGGCCCCACACTCGCTGGAATTCTGGAACGGTTACGACCAGCCCGAGGAGGCCGCTGCCAACTCTGCCTTAAGGGCGCCCTTGTTAACTATTCTGGCCTTTGCCCTGCGCAAAGCCCGTGCGGCCGTGGCATTTTGGAGGTGCAGATTGCTCCAAACCACAGTCTCGGAAACAAAGAAGGGTGCGCTTGGCAACGGGCGGGGAAGCGAGGTGGGAGATGGAACTGAGGAAGGACTGTTCCGCTGGACTCCCACATTTGCATCCTAACAGAGGGTGGATTCATTCCCCTCTGGCCAGCGGGAGTGTGTAATCAGTTTGTGCTGGCAACCACACTGCGCGGGTCATGCGCACATCAGCGCCACTGACCATACATGGCCCACGCATTAGGTCTCTTCGCAGAGCAGGGAGAAGCTGCATGCATAGGCTTCCTGGGATCGGGGCCGCGATCATGAGGAAGAAGCCTTCCCCTGCACACTCAGCACCCGGCCTCCCCTTTCTAATGTGCAGCGGGCTGTGAAGACAGGCAGCACGTTGTGTGACGAGGCTCCATCAGCCCCAGCCAGATGGGCTCTCCTGTCCGGAGGTGCCGGGCTGAATCGGTGCTGTGCCCCACCAGTCAGATGCCAGGCTGGGGAAACGGCAGCACGGCGCCATGTCTGTGGCTGGAGAAGTCTCTTATCTAAAAGCAGGAGAAGCAGCTGATTGCTGTGTACCAGGCGCTCGGCCTGGGCACTGCTGAGTGGCCAGACTGGGGTGCATTCTGAGCAGGGAAAGCGCAAGATCACACGGTTTCCTCGTGACCAAACTCCCTCGCCCCCATGAGCTGGAAAGCAAGTATTTTGGAATAACACTGCATGACTTTGTTGTGCTGAAACATCTGAACGCTCATTAATACCATGCCGTTTGCCATTAAAGGCTTGGGACCTCTCTCTCCTCCGATTTCTTTTTAATGCATCCCTTTGAATCATCTGTCTCGGGTCCTTAGTCAGTAAAGGCTTCATGGCCTCACCCTCAGTGGACCGCCAAAGGCACGAGGAAGGAGTGGAGAAGATAAAGGTTTCAGAAGTTGGAGCCCTCTGGTCCACACATCTCTTTCCTCCCGGGTTAACCGTTGGTTCCTCCAAAGCAACAGCCTGAAAGCTTTTCCACCCAAATAGATAAACACTGTACTCCAATGTGTAGAGAAATATTTTCATATCTCTTGGCTACAGACCCTCTTCACTCCACACTGTGGTGGAAAACAGAGAGATAAACACCAGCAAGGTTCATTTGCTTATGTAAGTAATCTAGGAGCGCATCGTTTGTCACATAAAATTGGCTGCTAATTTTACAGTATATACATGTCATTTCTACAGAATGCTTTTATTAGGGTCACGCAGGCAACTCCAAGGGGACTGCAGGTGGGGCAGCGTTTTAAACCGCTGTGCTGCTGGGCTGGTTGATCAACAGGTCGCCAGTTCGAATATGCACAGCGGGGTGAGTTCCCGCTGCTCCGTCCCAGCTCCTGCCAGCCTTGCAGTTTGAAAGCATGCAAATGCAAGTAGATGAAAAGGCGCCACTTTGGTGGGCAGGTCACAGCGTTCCGTGCACCTCGGTGTTTAGCCATGCCGGCCACGTGGCCACGGAGACCGTCTGCGGACAAGCGCTGGCTCCCTTGGCCGGAAAACGGAGATGGGCACCGCCCCCGAGAGTCAGGCATGACTGGGCTTCACGTCAAGGGGAAGCCTCTACCTTTATGCAACTCCAGGGTCCTAGTCCCGCTTCTAACCACCCCACTTCAGCCGCGCAATATGAGGACGTGTCATATGAGATGCTTAGTTGGCTGGTCATCGGAACAGAAGTGAAAACATCCATACATCCAGTCGAGCTCATGGCCACCCACCCTGTTCCTACAGTGCTGAGAAAGTTTTCCAGTTTGGCAAAGTTACAACATCACAGATGCTTAGGCCAGTGGTGCACAATGTATGGCCTTCCAGATGTTGAGGCGACAGCTTTATCAGCCTTAGCCAGCTCAGCCAATGGTGAGGGATGATGGGAGTTGTAGGCCAAAAACATTTGGAGGGCTACCAATTGCCCCCTCCTGCTGTAGAAAAGTCCAAGGTATTCACGGAAAACTTCTCCAAAAATGGTTAAGCAGATGTGCAGTTCCTTTCCTCACCAGCAACATTACGCATCATGAGAAAATGGACACACACAAGCACAGAAATGCTGTTTGAAAAATACTCAGCTATTCTCACCAATCCGGCTGTCAGCCAAGGGTTACTCCACTCCGGGAGCCTGGGGGGGCGGGAGTGAGAAATAATCACAAAGAGCTTTAAGTCAGCCAGGCAGAGCAAGAAACTTAAAGAAAAGATTGGCATAACTAAGAGCCATTCATGCCCTGGAGCCTTCTAAAACAAAAGCCACAGAATGCATGGAAAAGCGAATCTCTGGCAGCTATTGGAATATTTCAATGTCTCTTTCTGTCTGTCCGTCTTTCTTTTCTTATGGCATGAAACAGGACAGAGTTTCCAAGGACATTGTAAAAGCCAATGCACTGACCAGGAACTTAAGGTTTCCTTTTGAAGCCAGGTAGTAACCGCCCAAATCAACAAGGACTGAATTTTGCGTTCGGCACCATGGCCAGGACTTGAGCTGCTCTGTAGCGCTATGGAAGAACTGCGCTGGATCACACAGAAGGCGGGGGGGGGGGGCTGTGGCACTGACTCCAGCCCCCTCCACCCCGGCCAGCAGGAGTGAAGGCAGCAAGCAGGACGTGTGCGGGACAGCGGTCTGCTGCCCAGGCCCCCCAGCAACCGATTCCAAGAGGCACGCCTCCTCTAAAACTCACAGCCAATATGATTAGCAGCTTTTGTAGGCTTTCACCTCCCCGAATGTCTCCAGTCCCCCAGACAACCCGTCCAGGTTTTGCAGACATGTTGTGGTCACAAATCCCACACTCGGAGCGAAGACACCCTTGGGTTTGTCTGTGCCGAGCTTCCCACTGCTCCACTGCCTTGGATGACCTCGGGTTCTTATGTTTTAAGACCACCACCCACGGGAAGAAAATGACTTGATCCCACATCCCATCCAGTCAGTTCTACCAAAAGATGAACTAAGCACCCTCAGTCGCAACTCGGTCTCAGCACGGCAGGTCTAGATAGGAAGCAGTGTGGTGTGCACTCTGAAACACTGAGTAATCCACCTCCTAGACTTGGTTTAAGGAAAAAATTAATCATAGGGGAAACAAGAGTCCACAAGATCTCCTACTGTGTCTGGGTTTTGCTATTTGGGCATCCAACAATTTAATTCGCACAGTCGAATGGGAGGAGGTCTCTGCCAAAATGTGCGCCTGGTTTCCATCGTAAAAATCTCCCATAATGCACCTGTGCTAGGTTGCATGCCCCAGGGCCTTGTGGGAACTCCTAAATGGCAGTCAGTTGCCAGCACCAAAAAGTTTGGACCTGGGAAACTACCAGAGGATGTTCAGGGACAGAATCTTCCAAATATGCCAGCCCTGAGGGCTAACCGGAATGGCTAAAGTCATCCCTTTTCAGGGTCCAGTGCCCATTCAAGGCCATGGGAATGGACGGCGAGCAGGGAGGGTGAATGACTGGGAGAGGACGGCAGGCAGGCACCAGGTGGCCACAGGTGAGGGGGCAGGTGCGGATGCAGCTGCCTCCAAGGCCCCCTGATTTAAAAATCTGATAGAACATACAGGATGGGAACTTGCTGCGTCAGAAGCTGTGTCTGGCCCCCACCCGGACCAGCTTCCAAGCTGCCCAGAAGGGGTGGGGGTTCAATCAGGGATGTTTTGCCTTTAAAAGGACTGTCCTACCACCACCCCGCTCAGCTGACCGCTCTCATGACTCAGTTCCCTCTCTTGTGCTGGAGTACAATTTCCATTCTCCCCAGCCAGGAGAGCCATGGGCCGTGCTGCCTGGTGATGGAGAGAATTTTAGTCACACCTGGAGGGCAAGACATTCGGATGGGACGGGAGTCTACCCTGCCACCATTACAGACCGCACAACTAACAACACTACAACTTTGAACAGCCTGATTTTTAAAACAAGCAATCCAGTGAACGTAAACAAACCGTAACTTGGAAATATCCCGGAGAAGAGAATCAGGAAAACCATTAAAAGCCAAATGGCACAGAAACACCTTTCCGCACCTACATAAACACCGATCAAGGACATGCCCAGCCTAACAGTTTACAAATGAAAACAGGTAATCTAAGCAAGCGTCTCTCTTTCACATTCCAGAACAAAGAGTCTGCTACCTTGAAATACTGGTTTGAAGGCATTGCTTGCAGAGAGTAAACCAAACCTGGCCTGGCAATTTCCTAGGGATGAGTCCCAGAAAAGAATTTGCCTTTAATAACCAGGCCACCTATTGCTAGAATGCAGCTTAGGAACATCTGTAAGTCTGGGCTGGCTCTTTGTGCAGTGATTTCATTCTGAGGTTGCCTGCAGCAAAACCCTGGGAAAGGATCAGATAAGAGGCAGGAGTGGTCCAGCCAAATATTTGCTGGGGCAGAAGATACCATTCTTAAGGCAATGGGAGAGGCTGGGGGGAAGGAATGGTTGTTCCTTAAAGCCCTGAGACAAAGGATGCCAAGATATGGAAGGCCACCCCGGGCATCTCTGCTGACCTTGTGCTCCAGGCAAGGCCGGGATAGTGCACTTTGGCACAGAACTGGGGACATAATCTGAGAGGCAGGGAGCAAAACACAAGTGGGGCAGCAGAAAAAATGCATGTGTCAAGCGGCTGCTGAGCTCACATCGCCACAGAAGCCTCCGAAAAGGCACCTGCTGCTCCCACGGAGGGGGGAATGTGTGTCATCCTAGCCCGGAGTTACTTCCCCCCTGTCTCGGCCACAGTCCCCTTCACACAGTACCTTTCATGCTGACACAAGCACAACACATGAGAGGCAATCAATGTACGGAGCAAATTTTAGACTCTGCACCAGCTGAGAGGCTATTAAGGTTCAGCTGGTCATGTGGTGAACTCTGCCAGGACCCAAACATCAAGATATTTTTGAAGGCCACGCCAACGCTTCCGGCCTCCCATTTCTTAGGAGAAACAGCAGCGATAGTCTTTCCTCCTTCTCCTGATAAGGACTCTTTTGCTGTGAGAACAGAACTCCGCCTGACTGGAGCTGCCTTGTGCTGCCGTTCCACCCCTGGAAAGGGGCTTAGCGCCTGCGTTCATTGACAGTGACAGATTCTGAAATGGCAGGAGAGAGGATTGCTATTAAATCCACGGCAAACAGCACGGCGTCTTGTGCGCAGCTGGGGGAGAGGTTTTGCACGTCGCTTGCCCAGACTCCATTGCTTTCCATAAACTGCTTATCGTGTTTGAAACAGATGGATTTGTTTCTTCCCAAGAAAGCTCACATCTAAATATGGCACCTCGGCTGAGCGAGGCCCTGAGGGTTCCAGCGGCCCTCTGTCAGAAGGGATGGTCGCTGACAGATTATCCCCAGTCTGAAGAGCGGCCTGCTCCAAAACCACCTGCAGGATTCTCCTGTAAGTGCATACTTGCAAATGTTTAAGAGCAGGCGTTCATTATAACGATTGCAATGGCCACACACACACAACCCTGATGAGTCCAGTACTGGAATTGCAGGATTGCAATGGCAATAAAGCCATTCTGGCAGTTTTGCACGGGGGGAAATGTGAGCAGCTGCCTGCGGAAACACAGAGGCTTGGTCGTGGTGGTGGCCGCTGAGACGCGAGGCTGCAGGCATGGAGCCGGGCGCCCCGTTCGCTGCTGCGGGAGGCCAGATGCTGAGGCCATGCGATCTTCGGCGTAATGCAGCAAGTGCCTTTGGGTGCTCTGAAGGCAAGTTCTGGGGCCGAAAGAGAGCAGGGGCGGTGGGCAAGGAAACTCCCCCTCAGCTGGAACAAGGGACGGGCTGCTGGCCTGGCTTCCTGCACACTGTGGCAGCCACAAAGACATGCTTAGCATTACGCTGCGGACAAAAGCATCGCTGCCCAAGCCCCGAGCCAATCTAGAACTGCAAATTCCGGAGGAAGCAAGTACGGGCAGGGTCTCTTATTGTTTCCAGCAACAGGAGCCTCAGAGCAGGGAAGCAAAAGCCGCGAACAGAGGCCAGCATTGTCTGTGCAAACCAGCAGCTGGATGGAGGTTTGTGCGCCGGTCCGATTAGGCCCTGCGGTCCCAGCCATGACGAAGCTGTGCCTCATGGGCTTGCCGGACGCAGGGCTCAACCCCCAGCGCCCCGCATGAAGCCGAGTCTCTCTTGCCTCTCTGCTGCACCAGGTACGGACG